CGCAGGACAATGGGCTGAATGCTCTCCGGGCTGACTTTTTACTCGACTGCCAGTTGATGAGACGCTGACGTCGACGTCCGCAACAACAACAGCAACAACAGCTACAACGACAACGACAACGACAAAACGGGTGCACAACGTCCCCCGGTTGAGAGCTAGTCCTGGCCCTAGGACCCTCCAGTGGGCGTCCACTTTTATTTACATGTATTGCAGTTATTTTGTATGTAATTTATTTCTCAACAGCCTGACGGCTGGACAGCAGCGCTCCAAGTGCGTGGAAGCCTCAGCAACCAGCAACGATCTACCAGTAGTCAGCAACTACCGCAGCGCACTGCATTCCCCTCCTCATCAATGGTGTTTGTTTTTTGGGCTCTCTACTTGGAAGCTTTATGCGTTGCTTGCTTCGCTCATTTTTTTGAAGCTTACAGTTCGCAAAGTGCAATCTGCAGCGTTCTTAACGTTGTTACCTCGGACGAGGTTCGGTTTTAATGGTTAGGCAGCCCAGCGAGTGGCCCAAGTCTGAAAAAGCCGCTCAAAGCCCTCGGCACAAAGAAAATTCAATGATTTTTCATTGAATTTTTAAGGCAGCATAATTTGATCAGATCCATCTGGTCGACAAGGCATATTTTACTTATCTAAAATTTATAGATATATTAAGGTTGTCTTTTATCTTTGAACTCAGCTAGCAAATGTACTAAAAATTTTAACTTAGCTGTGAAGAACATTAACAGTAGAACTGAGAATCTGAGAGTTGGTTTATTTCACTAATAGAGTTTGATCCTACACCAAAATTTAGTATGTGAAAGTGAAAGAAATTAGCAAAACTGCGTGGCTTCATCGCCAATCTATAAAACTTCTGTTTATTCGAACGAGACACACACTGAATGAATCAAATTGCTTTGTCAGGAATAATATAACAGAAAAGAGCTTTTAGCAATTCAAGCAGCCAACAGCTTCTATATGCTTTGCTCTCTCTGAGGCTCTGACTAATATTCGCTTAAGCAAGCTTACTCACACTTGCCGGCATTCCAGACACAACTCATAGACAATTCTTTTATATATTTTGGCTGTTATGCGATTAATATTTACCATTGTCTCGATGGGCAGCACTGCATTGATGCGTTTAGCTTAGTCGATTAAAAACATTTTCAAATTTGCATAAACAGTTTCGCCAGCGCATTAGCTGCTTGGCAGCGCAGTTCGTTTACATGGGCATGTGGTAAACAGAAATTGATTAAAACATCACGTAATCGCAATCGAAGTCGCAGTGGCTGTAGCTGCCGAAGCCAGCGCTTAGCGGCGCCAACATCAAGTCGCAGCTGAAATGTTGCACGTACGCGTGCGGCTTTCAAACAACAGTCCGCTCATATGAATATATATTTCAATCAATTCTTGTCGATTTCTGCGAATTTGCAGTTGATTCATTCAATGGGGCAATGCCGAGAATTATAATTGTGCACATTAGGGGGTCCCAGGTTCAATTGTAGATCGTCTATTTAACGTCGCGAACGTAACGAATGACAAATTGAACGGCGATGATGATGATGGTGATGATGATTCACCCACTCAAGCGGGTCAGCAATCCACTAACCTGACCAGCATCTTATCAACATCGCCATAAATAAACCAAACGGAATCCGCGTATGCGAATCCGTGGAACAACAGCCAGTGCCAGCCGTAGAGTCACAGCAGACACCGTAATTTTTGGCTGCAGTCTTCATAAATTTCATTTTTACATGCAGAAGATGTCAGTGCCCTGGCCGGGGCCCAGTCGGCTGGCCAGCCAAATATGGTTAATGACTTGTTTGTGTGTTGGATTAAATATAAATTATATTTTTTGTGGCACGGCCGAGATCGGAGCAAAGGGCACGGGCAGCGAGCAGGCAAATGCAAAATGAAATAACAAGAACAAGTTTCGTAATGCAGCATGATAAAAATTTTATTCCAATGAAATTTGCTTGCATGCCCAGACCGAAAAGAGCAAAGCAAAGCAAATTAAAACAGTGCAGAGATTGTAAAACACGTGAAGTAAACACAGGGCAATATTGTGGACGATGCTTCAAGTGGTTATTTTAACAACAATTTGATTGATAAATCGCAATGTATGTCAATGTATGTCGCCTTAATTGATATCAAATAGAAATCAAAGCTCGTTCTGGACGGATTTTGATTTATTGATGAAAAATGAATGCTGCTCTAAAGCAAATGAACTAATCAAAAACATGAGTGCCAAAATTGCAGCTATTATCGGGCTGAAGTTCTGTGTGTCGTTTGGGTCAATTAATCAAGGGATTTGCGCCACACACAAAAGTGTTTTCAAAACATTTTGGCCCTTAACATATAACCTGCAATGTATCAAAAGGCCAAAAAAAGGAAAGAGCAGGAAACGGGCCGCACATAAAAAAATTAATTTACAATGAGAATATGTGGAAATTTATGTAGGCAGCCCTCAAAAAAAGGCGCCACTTGCAATAAAAAATTGACCAGCACATTAGTTCAATGGTGCGTATGAGTAATATGTGTGTGGAGAGTAGGAAGCAGCAGCTGGAATGCTGCTTACGAAATATGTTTCGAAATAAATAAAAATATGCGTGAGAGCATAGCCGCAGTAAAAATGATGAGCTCTTAGTCCTGTGAGCAGCAGCAGCCGACGAAGACAGGAAACTGCATGAAATTGCGCAAGTTGTCGGGGCAGAGCGGGGCAAACAAGGGGCATGAAGGGGTAAGAGTTGCTGGCGAACCAGGCGAACTTGAAAGCTGCCGACGATCAATAATTTCCTCACAAAGTTATGCAAAGCTGTCAGCCAGGACGGACCGAAATCCCTGCACATGTTTATGAAAATGTAAGCGAACGAAACATCGAAAATCTGCAGCCGGAAATCGAATGTCTGTCAGTGAGAAATTTATATAAATAACAGCGGAGAGTTAGTAAGTAGCCCGGCGCCATTTCAACTTCAATCCTCGTTGCGAGCTCCTCTCTGCGCCCTCCTGCGAGTCGAGGGCTGTCCGTGATACCGCCCAGGCCGACATAATTTATGCAAATAAGTCGGCACACGCATGTCTGGCAACGGCACAAACACCCCTCTAGCGGCTCGCCAATGAATCATATGGCTAAAGGAATTTGACAGCTACTGCAGATTCTAGAGAGTAGCTTTAGTAATAGGCCCGTTGGGCACTGTCACGTTTGTCTACGTGGCGTATGGGTAATGCATCCAGGCACTCGGCACTCGGCACTCGGCACTCGGCACTCGACACTCGACACTGACGATTCGAGAGTGGAAATATCAAAAGTTTTGTGCTTAAGTCTGTCAAATTCAGCAGTCGCCTGTATCGGGGCAGTAGGTGCTGTCTCTTCTGCATTTGGTTTAAGTTTCAGCTATTGTCTGGATGCAAACTTGGCTGTCAGCTGCTCCCTCAAGACGTATCTTTGCTTTTCACCTGCTACCAAGAGCGAAATAACGATAACGAGATAGCAGTTCTACTTAACCTTAATTAACCCAGTAGCATAAATATTTGCAACTTAGGCGTCTAAGCGCTGATACGGCATGCTGATAAGCACACTCTAGTGAGGACTTCCAGCCAAGGCACCCAGCTCCCAGCCAGGCGCCGATCAATAACATTTTGCATATAATCAAGCAGCCCATGTGCGAAGCAGCCATGCATGACCTCTCTGCTTGGGAGGCACGCTGTTAAGCCAACAACTTGACTGTCATTACACTTGGCAGAGGCCCTTGGCGAGGGCCACACAAAAAAGCGTTCATTTACTCAATCGTGCACTCGAAAATGTCAATTTACATTTGCGGCGAGCACTGTCCACCCCAACGGGAGCGTTTGCCTCGAAAAATGGTAAATGGGCCATGGGCTAACTGATGCTGCTCCGATGCGGCTTGGGAGCCGGCTTAAGTTGACTTTAACGCCTGAATGCATCTGTGAAAAACTCGGAAAACGATTCGGGATGCTCACATAGTGAAAGTTTTCGTTCCGAAAACTTTTTATTAAAGTCAGCAAAAATCTATGGGATCTCATTCGGTTTTAAATTTCCTCACCCACTCGACCGCATCTTTCTTTCCCATCTCTGGCTCTGTCTCCCGCTCCTTCTATCTGTTTTTATTTCTCTCTGCATGTGTTTGACAATGTGGGCGTGGCAGTTGGCCCGTCTGTTGCTCTGGTCAAGTTAATTTGTATGTGTGGCCATAAACTTTGCCAGCTTAGACTTGCAACACGCCCAACTGGCAAGGCTGCCCGACCAGGCAGCGGTGGCTCCTCGCTTTCGGACATCCTCTTTTGATATCTCAAATGTTCAGTTGCCAAGTCCGATTCCCCGCTCACTACTCCCAACTGGTCTCCGATTCCAATGGCCACAATGTGTGAATTTTGTTGGCTTATTGCTTTTGTTTGCCGCATAATTGCTGACTTCTTTCTCACACAGTTTGTGTGTAGTCTGAGCGTCTGGTAGACGTTTTGTCCTTGAGCATTGCGCATAATTCATATGACCGAAGCGGCTGAAGTTTATGCTTCGATGCATAGCTGATGCGCATGTCGAGGGATGCTTGCTGAAATGCTTGGTCAGTGGTTAAACTAGATAACAAGCGCAACAGCAGGCAGGATGGCGGAATGGTATCAGAGCATTGGAGGCTTCCCGGCAATCCAGCGCTTCCCAGCTAATGTGGCTAATGGTTTTCATATTGCGTCATAGGTGCGCAGCAGAAAATCAATTTCTTTTCAATTGCCAACTCCTGCTCCATGCGTGGCATTTCCTAAACGGTTTCTATATCTACCCCAGGCGCTAACAGTTTCGCGCCTAGTGTACTGGCGCGGTTACCTGCCCGCTGTCAAGGTGACCCTCGCTTGCTGCATAACAACAAACAACAAACTAATAGACGCATAGCAACTGGGCAGGTAGTTTCTGTTGAGTTTTACCACATTTGCTGACACTGAAACTGATTGCGTCGCATTGAAAGCAGTCAGCAGACTTCTATCTTCGAGCAGATCTCCTAACAATGCCTTGCCTATCAGCCTGCAATGTCCGATTTGTGAGCGCTGATGCGCAGCTTAAGCAGAAGTGCCAGGAGTTGAGGGCGCGAGCCCAGACCGCCGCGTATCGTCCACCCATTGGAGGATATAGACCATTGACATCTCGCACTGCACTCCAAGGCTGCTTTCAGAGAGCAAATGACCAGTTTGCGGCCTTTGATCAAAAGCAACTCAAGCGCAACGAGCGCGAAAGAAGGCGTAATCAGGGCGCTAAGGAGCTTGTTCTACGGACCGCCGATTTGAATCGTCTGAAAGAGAAGTGCAAGTTTGCTAGCATTCATGACAAACTGCAGTCGCTAGAACAGAGTGAGACGGAGCATCGAAAGCAGCTGCAACTGGTGAAGGAGACGAAGCAGCGCTTCAAGCAGATCGACGATGCTCGTAAGGCGCAAGCCGACGGCAGCAAGAATATCAGCAACGTCGACGAGGCTTTGGAGGAGCAAAATACTGTGCTCAGTCGAGCTATACTGGCTAAGCAGGAACAGGAGGAGGAGGTGAAGCAAGTCAATCGCATGATTCTCGACGCCAAGTGCAAGGCAGTTAGAGAGGCCCAAATCCAAGAGAAGCAACTAATGGCTAGAGCCCTCCGCGAAGACGACGAGCGCCTGGCCAAAATGGTAAACGAGCGAGCGAAGGAGGCGCTCAATGCGGACGACGAGCGCGAGCGCCTCGAAATCGAAAAGCGCGCAAAGTATGCACAGGAAATTCGTCAACAACTGAGTGAGCGCGAAAACAAACGCTTCCTGGAGGCCCAGCGGGTGGCTGACGAGGCCAAGCATCTGCGCAAGGCGAGCGAGCTGCTGCGGGAAGAGGAGGAGCGCCAGCGGAGCTTTGTGCAACTGCGAAAGGTGCGCTTCCGCGAGGAATTGCAGCGTATTCGAGACATGTCGAATGTTTTCAAGACTATGCTCAGCGAGCAGGAGCGACTGGCGGACCTGCGTGTGGCTGCCTACATGCGCGAAAAACAGGAGAAGGAGCGCCAGCTCAAGGACATGCAGAAAGCAATGAAGAAGCAGTTCGAGAGAAGACAGCAGCGCATCTTCACAATAGCCACGGAGGCCCAAGAAACACGTCAAACTAACGAGGAGCTTAAGTACCTCAAGGAACGCAATCGAGTGGAGCGTGAGTATCGCCAGCGGGAGAAGCAGATGGCAATGGCTAAGCGCGAGGCCGAGCGCGATTTGCTCCAGAGTCGCGCCCTGCAGGCGCAGGAAATGAAGCAGCGCCTGGCCCAAGAGATTGCCCAAGCCGAGGAAGACTTCAACAAACTGTTGACACGCATGCGAGACGAGGAGGAGAAGCAAAAAAGACTAGACCTCGAGCGCGAGCAGCGCACTCAAGCGTATCGGAGGGATCTGAAGCAGCAAATGACAGACAGGAAGGAAGAACGACGTCGCCTAACGGACATCGAGCATGAACGCATGCAGAAGTGGATGGACCAGGAACGCCAACGAGATGCCAACATCATGCAGGTGATCAGCTCCAAAATTGCATCCATGCGCGACAACTGCCTGCCCGAGAAGTACCTGCAGGATGTGGAAAAGCAGCTCAAGAAGATCCAAAGCAGTCGCAATCGCATTCGCTAAGCTACGAAGCTGGCCGCCAGCTCATGAAATAATTCTTTCATTGCATAGCTTTGGGCGAACGCTTCCACTGATCGCTGGAATTCGGATATCGAACAACTCCTATAACTATGCAATCCTAACTTTCAAATTAAATATAAGTTAAGTTATTGTAAGCTGACCTTGCATCCGAATGAGGCGTGTTTAAATTATAGCTCTATAGAGATGTAATAGAAAAATTAATTTGAATAAATATTAAATTGAATCTAATGCCCACTAATCACAGCTAATATATTATATTTACATTTATATATATTATAAAATATTATATTTAAGCATAGAGCATTTGCAATAAATATTTTCATTTTTAAAAATATATTTTTATGTTTTATTGAGTCTTTGCTACAAGATTAATTTTCTGTGTAATTGATACAACTTTAAACAGCAGATTTTGTGAATTAATACATTTCTAAGCCTGGTAACAGCTGTGTGCCCTGATCTGCACATATATACGAGTTTATACTGAAACTGAATGTTCTCTTCGTGGGCAATTTTTGTTTCGTTGCGCCGTCAGACGATGCGAGGCGCACATGTGGAAAGCTCTCAAAATGGTAGCCCCGCCTGAAAATATACTACACAACTTTGGATACCCGCAAGCCGCAGCTCAAATTAGTGGTGCTGAAATCAAAGACATTGACGATAACCATGACATTGTTGCGTGCGACACAGTTAAGCACACTGAGATCCCGGCAAGACATGCCCATTCCCACGCGCCTCCCGCTAATTTCTTAACATGTGGGTGTTTAGTTTGCCATTCTCTCAATGCATTCAATGGCTCCCGGAGGCGAAGACACGCACACGCACACGCACACACACGCACACACACCCACACACAACAATTACCAGAGCTACAGATGCCAAGAACTACTCCGCATTCCCCATCTCCCATCTGTGAATGAGTGGTAGCAACTTTTGGTTACAATAAAATTTTATTATGCCAGACACATACGTGGCCACACACACACGCACACGCACACACAGGCAGAGGGGCAAACAAAGCAGCCACCGATGCTGAAAGTTGAAGATGGCTCCTCCACTGCCTGACGACGATGAAGTCTTGTGCATGGTTCAATTATCGTATTTCATGATTCGTTAAATTTTCGCATACGCCAAAAAATACGCAAGACATTGCTAGACCCATCGCCCGCCTCTCGGCCCGCCCAGCCACACAGCTGCTGTGCTGGCGGGCAAAGAAAATCCAAACTGAAAAACAGGTTTTCCCCTAGCAACCATTGTGATGTCTACCTACAATGAAGCTGACGCTGGAGACGGGCTGGAAAACTGGCAGACGAGCTGGCTATTCCCCTCCCGCCGTTCCGCTCCACTCTTCACTCTCCACTCTGCTCTATTCGCATGTGGCAGTAATAATTCCAATGACAATAAACGTTGTCGTATTTACAAGTACCAACACACTCCCACCCACACACACACACTCGCACGCTGACATGAATTGATGAGAAAAGTTTTTGAGGAAATGTCAATAGAGTAGCAGAGACAAACTGTGCGTCGCTGTAAGAAGAGGGCTGTCGACTACAGTGGGGAAAAGTGCGCCAAATACACAATAAATCCTGTGCACAGCGCAGAAGAGAAGATGGCAGATATATTAACAAATTCACGATTCGATTTGCAGTTGTGCTAAGGTAATTAAATACTGAGGCCTACCTCGTGCCCAGTTGCACTCAAAAGTCCTTCAGCAGCGATCAGATTTTTGATTAACTTTCATTTTTATGGACTTTTGCTTGGAAATGGAAATACTTGAAAATAAAGTAAATACCTTTAGCTGCTGTACTTGCCTCTGCTGCTTTGATTTGTTGTTGAGTTTCGCCCACTGTTCGACATATTTGCCATTTATAAATATCATGAGTGGCAAAAGGTAAAAAGGCAAGAAAACAGATATTGTACGAGTAATTGGAAAAAGGGAGGAAAATTGCAGCAGCTGCAACGCAGTGCACTCAATACCTTCGTGGACCATACTCAGACCATATTCAAAATTTATCTGCCAGATTGCACTCGATTGTTTTGTATTCGGCGCGAGGGGAAGGCGATTTTTGTGCTTGAAAATAAATTGCTTGGCTTTGGCTTTGCGTGTTATTTGTGAAGCTTTTCTCCATGGCTCCATTTCGGGCTCATATTTTGTGTGCACCGCCAAACCACAATAGTCTTTTGTAGTTCAAAGCGGCGGTTATCTCGTAATGTATCTGAATATGTATCTATATTTGCGTGTTTTAGCTGAGTGTGTTTCTAGGTGACTAGGAAATGCGCCTCAATTGCATACAAGTCGAACATCAATCGCTGGCAAAAATCAATATAAATTGGCTAATTCTGATGACTGTGCCAGGGGCAGACAGTTGTGCCAAAATGAATTAGTGGGCAGACAAATAGAGGGCCAGGAAATTGTTTCAATTGAAAACTTTGTATATGTAGCAATGTGAAATCAAATGAACTTCTTGGCTTCCCATTCAGGCTCCGAGCCGAATTATTGTTTACTCCAAAGTTAATGTTACTGGCGCCAAGCTGTAGGACTGCTCCGATCACAACAGAAGCTCTGTTTGCTTTGGTTTACTTATCAAACGAAACACGTTTTCTAATTCTCTTTTTATCTGCGGGAGTTCGTCCGAAACACCTAGCTGTCGACTTAGTAGTCACACATAGTTCCTTATACTATGTGCACTGGCAAGTTCTTATCAAGCGATTAGATACGGAACTCCTCCAGTGCGCCTAGAAGAGCTCGTCGTGTGTCGACAGCGCATATTATGACTACAATTACATATTGGCTCTATCGACAACAGCTATCATAACTGCGTGTGCTTTTTGTCTTATCTGTCTTTTTGTCTTTATCTCACTCGAGCGCTGAAGAATTTGCAAGATAGTGTTTCATTGGCAAATGCTGGCGTGAACCCTAATACAACTAATTGGAGCCACTTGCAGGCAGGAACAGTGCAGAGCAATGACTTTTGTGGATCGCATACTGAAAAGTAAACAAACCTTATTTACAGTAATTAATTTATTTATAGGAAACGACAAACAAACACTAAACATAATTAACATAGAACAAATCAATACGAATAAATCTGTTCATAAATCATTAGACTTGATTACTTATAAGTCTTAAACATAAGCTACAGCTACAACAGAGTCGGCGACGTTACTTTCTGCTTAAAGAGAGTATATTAGTTTCTTGCGTGCGAAGTTGTTGCTCATAGACCCTGAACGAGTATTACGCAGTTGCTTGGACTGCAACGACTTTACTTTGTACAATATTGAAGTGCCTTATCGACTGTGCGGCTATCGCAAGGCATTCAAAACTATTCGATGCCGGCGGCAGATGTAGACGTCGGCGTCGACGCTGCTGCCTGAAGATTGTATCAGCTGATTGGACAGTCGCACGCTGCAGTTGGCCGTCTGCCCACTTCAAAGCGGCAGCTGCGACATGACTGCGGCATTGTTTACAAACAAACAAGCTGCAGCCGAAAAGCAGCCGCCAACTGCAGAAGGAGTTACTGCGGACCCACTATATCTCTGATGCGGACTACTTTACATTGAGTGTGATTGCGGAATGCCGAGAAAGCGTGCTGGATTACTAAGGAGTCGCCGAGGCGAGTGTGCAACACGCAAACTGCTGAACATCTGTGATTATCCTTTGAAGGGAATAAATTTGCTTGGCCCCGGCGCGTTTAGGCCCACTGTGCGAGTGCAGCGTTGCCAGACTGCCCCATGGCCGTTGCCGTTGCCGTTGCCGTTGCCGTTGCACAACGTCGCTGGCTCACGTCGGATTTCGTAAATCATTTAACGTAAAGTGGTATGTGCATATCAGGTAAACAGTGTGCCGCGCGCTTATCACATTTTCGTTTGCTTCGATTTCTAATGGAAAAATAGTCGAAATTGCTTCGACTTATGGGTCCCAATCTGACGATAAGTCTCGGCCGGATCTGTCGGCTTAGACAGCATTTGGCAAGCTCAACGGCAGCCCTGCTGCACTAGGCGGCGGCGTTTCGGCACGTGATGTGGGCGGCTTGTAGCTATCGCTGCCGTCGTCATCGCAGTCGTCGTCGACTTTGTCTGCATCGTCGATATCGGGCTCAGAGCGATCATCGACGTCGTTGGGTCCATAGTCCAGCGACGTTCTTGTGGCGGAGGCCGCGACCGCAGCGGCTGCTAAAAAGTGCACCTTGGTCGAAGTCGTCGAATTGTTATTCTCGGCCAGCAGCTGATGGTGTAGATGGTGGTGCCGATGGTGGCAGCCACTGCAGTTGCTCGGCGCGCACATGTAGCCCAGTGTAACGGGACTACTAACGCGGGGCCGCACATGCAGCAGATCGCCCACATAAATAGCCGTGATCGTCGCGTAGACAACGCCCAGAAAGCCGCCCGCCAGCACGTCCGACCAGTGGTGCCAGTAGTCGGCGACGCGGCTCAGCGAGACGTACCAGGCGGCCATGAGCAGCAGGAACTGGAGTATGTGGCGCATGACGCGCACGCTGCCACGCCCCTGCCACACACTGTGCACATAGAAGGCCAGCAGGCACATGGAGTAGAAGCTGAGGCTGCTGTGCGCGCTGGGAAAGCTCACGTGGAGCTCGCGTATCTGCTGCGCGGAGAGATTCCGATTGCTGCAGTAGAACTGCTGCACGTACACATCCGCATTGTGGGCATCCGCGCAGCTGGATCCGTCATTCAGCCGCGGCTGGCAGGCATGGTAGAAATGCGGACGCAGTCGGCCCACCACGTGCTTGGCCAGCTCTGTGGTCAGGAAGGTGGCGATGAAGCCAAAGCTGAACGTCGCCTGCGAGCGCCACAGATTGCGCAGGTATTTCCGCATGCGCAAATGCCTGCATCGGCGCATTATCTCCACCACGCTGATGAAGAGCATCGGCAGCAGCAGCATCATGACCAACAGCATGGGCACTGTAATGGTGCACTCGTGGTAAGGGTACCGAAGGGACAGGTCCGAGCAGAAGAAGCCGCGCTTAAACGTGCGCATGATTGCGAGGCAGTTAAAAGTCGATTCGGAGATGATTTGAAAGCGATTCGGAGATGATTCGGAGCTAGGACGGACTAACGATGCAGCTGTTGTCTATTTGTCAACTGATCAGAGTTACTTCCGAGTTCACTTCAACACCTGCTGCTGGCCTAAGCAATGAATTGCCATTGTTCACAAACAGCGCAAATTGTTTATTGGCTTCCTTATCGCCTAGGCATTCAGTGATCTTTACAATCGTCCCACTTCATAGCATCAGCTTTATCAACAAAATGCTCACAATATCGACTCGCTTGTTCATTCACTTTTTGGCACTTGGCGTTCACAAATTGTGTATTTTTTATTTTCGTAGATCTATCAATTCGGGGAGCTTTCGAAACAGGCGGCGCGATTTACAGAGCTCGTGTCTCAGGAAATTTTCCTCAGTTTCTGAGGAGCACACTTAATAGCTCGTTGCAATTGCTGTTCGAAGTAATCACGCGCGCTTTTTTCGGACTCGAAAATGAAATCAATTAACTCTATTGAGCAGAAAGCAGAACTGTCAGGTATCCGTCTCTGGCAGTTGGCAAGCTGCTAGCCAGCTGTTTGGTTGCTTGGCTGTTTGCCTGTGGGCTGTGGGCTGTGGGTTTCCTGGGCAACAATCTCGTTGGCCGCGTTCACTTCGTGCTCTAGTCGGAGCTGCGCGTCGACGCTGACGTTGTGTTTGGCCGACCAAATCTGACTGTGACTGTGACTGTGACTGCGACAGCGGCGATCGTGCTGTCGAGCTGCTCTGCCTGGTGCTCAGTCGCGCTGCGCCCACAAACCCACCACAGCGTTGGGTGTTTCGCATTGATATTGTATTTCAATGCTATGTTTTTCTTATCAATTTAGCTATGCCGGCGGCGGCAGAGTCGTCAGCGCTTTCGACTGGGCCTGGGACCAGTGCACTCGTATTTCTTGGCTTCGGTGTTGACGCTAATGAGGAAACTGTTGAATTGTTTCAAGGTTTACTTTTGCACAGTTTGCTTAGGCCTGTTTGCCAGAGACTTGGCATTTGCGCATAATGAAAGAGTTGCATTTACCCGACGAATACCTATGGAAAGAAGGAGTGCCTTCGCTGAAGCTGGAGCTATGACTGAGGCAGCGGCGACATGCCATGCCGACTTCCATACCCTGCCTTCCATCCCAGCAGTAGGTCATTGCAACGTGACTAAGTTAGCTGCTGGGCTCTGCTCGGATCGCTTGCTGCGTGTCTTTATAGCGATTGTTGATGTAGGTCGTAGCACGGGCCTCTCGCGTAAGCCACGAGCTGCGCGCGGAAACGGAGAAGTCGACGTCGACGACGACGACTTCGGCGGCGAGACTCACTCCAACTGCTGCTGGGACTGGCATGTTACAAATGCTGCAAATGCTGCCCATAAACTGCAGAAACTTTATGGCCACTTTGTAGCTTTACAGCGAACATAGCTTCTTTATGGCAATTTTCAACTGCTCAATTTACATAGAAATCGTCGCATTTGTGACCATTTGCTGTTAATTTATGTTAATTTCAGTAAAAGGCTGACTCGGACTTGATCCTCCATAAGAGACACGTGAATGTATTGAACGATCGTACTTCATCTCAATAGTCTTAAAGCTACATTTAAACAATAATATTCGCTTATCAACCTTTCTATATGTACCCACGTACATTCTTAACTTTTGTATACACTTATGTCCTGAGTCACATCTGAATCCCTCTCTCTCTCTCTCTGTTCAATTTATAGCCTTGTTCTAAAATTCAACTGAAAGCATCGATTGTTGCATTCAAAGTGCAATCACGATTTTATCATTCTTAAATTTGCACCGTGGCAAACTTAAATTGAATAAATTATTTACAACTAAAAAAGGGCCAAGTCGTTGTAACTTATACTCAGCACTTGTTTATTTTTGCACTCATTGAAAGCCGATAGTATTGGATTAAGAACAGCGATACCACACGGCCACATCGCAATAAAATACGCCCCACTTCCATAGCCGGGTAATCCGCAAGCCGCAGATCCACAGCCCACAGCTGTATCAGTGGCAGACCGCAGCACGCGCCACAAAAAGCGATCGATGCTGACCTGGGGGAGAGAGACGACAGCGAGGGAGGCGCAGAAATACCACGAAAATTACAAATTGGATCAGCGAATTTGCAATGTCGGCGCAGTAACGCAAACAAATAACAAATAAATATTAATTCAAATTAATTTTTTACACAATTTATCAAACACGCTGAGGCAGCGATTACCCAACTCTGTCTGGGCTGTACGCCCCAGCAGAGTATGCAAAATTGAATTACAATATTCTGGCTGAAAGCAAACACATTTAACGGGCTGAATGCAGATCTACAGTCGACTGGATTTCCGACCTTGTTTCTGTTTGCTCATCAATTTATAAATCACTTCGCTTAGGGCGAAGAGCATTTTGCCTTGTGCATTTCCGTCCTTCAGTCTATTTGAAACACGCTATTATATATATTATATATATTTATCATGTAACTGTAAATATATATTCGTGCTTACAAAGTCCAGATGTATCTATCCATATCATCATCATGATCTCTCCTCTGCTGATAGACCTAAAGGCATAGTCCACCCACAGGCAAGGCGAACGCCCTCTAAAGCTCCCCCTTTTAAATGATAAATGAATTTGCCGCTTCTAGTGGGATAATAGGCATTAAGCACGTGGGGGACGTGCAAGGCATGTCGCACATTCCATTGCTCTCCAGGTTCAACAGGTGTGGCTGATTAGCGAAAGGTGTAAAAAATGCGATAACGATCGCGTATGCAATCGCTTTTGTGAACCGCCCAACTGAGGCTCAGCTGCCGCCCACTTGGCCCCGCAAGGCGATAAGTGGCAATTGTGTGCATCGTGACAATATTTCGTTGTTACTTTTCTGGGGGCTAATTGTAATTTTGCGGCTTGTTTACTTGTGTACAGTTATTGTTGACGTAGCTGACTCCCGCCAGCAGCAGCTGTCGCCTGTCCAACAGCCACTCTCAGCCTCGAATGTCTGTACATGAAGCGTGCTGAAACTGAAATTATCAGTAAACGTGCGAATCGATTCGATAAGCGAAGAAGTGAAACGAAACTCGCATTAACCCGACAAATAGGAGTCATTAAACAAGGTATGAAAACCAACATATTTTAGCTAGATATTGTTCCATATATATTATGTCATACACCCGCAAAGTAAACATAAAAGTAGCTCAAGAATTAACACTCTTCGGGCAGAGCAATTGAAAAGTTGAACTCAAAATCAATTGATTTTAATTCCATGCACGTGCAATGCACCCAGGAGAACGGGAGCTCAGCCCAGTTATGAAAATATCGTCAGCTGCCTAGAATGCGCATTTTGTATAATCCGTAAACAATTAGTCATTAAAAGAAAAGGAAGTTGCATAAATGCAAAAACGATGATTAATTCGAGAAACGGAAGCAATAATAACTATTTTTAAATAACAATTTATAAACAGCAAATCAACAACGTTTTCTTTTACTCCCCACCACAAATTCTTCGAAAATTATATTCGCGAAAAATAAACCCACAAAAGTCTAAAATACCTAATCCCAACATAGCTCGTAATAATAATCAGCTTAAACAATAAACAGCAAAGCCGATTTGCACAAGCTCAATTAGCCAAATCACTTAATTAACACTCAAATATGAAAATGTTAAATAAAGTAAATATATGAAGACTATATGTATATATAAATATATATATATTTATGTTTAAACTTCAATTTAACAAGTTAACGAGCTGCAGACGCCGACATTTGCGAATTAAGCTAGTCGAGAGCCGAAAAGGCGGGAATTTTTATAAATCGGAACCCGTTTGTCGCCTAAAGCTCTGCTTCATTGAGCTTTCAGAGCTGAGCTTGCGAGCGTCATTGAGCTTAAAGCGTCATAATGTGCCAACAGCTGAGCAGCAATCCGAAGCATGCGAGTGACGTCAGAGGCTTTGGATGTGGTGCACAGGTGCGGATTAACACGCTGTGCAATGACCCACACTGACGCAAAGCCCACTAGTCGTGACTCATGGCAAAACTCCAAGAGAGAAATTCCCAAGCCATACTCATTTGCGAATCAGTCCAAGCAGCAATTAGCCTCCGTCCCGGCTGCAACGTTGTAACACATCAGTGGCTAGCGGCTTGGAGTATCGCGATGCGGTTCCACTTCATATCCACTCGCGAATTATGCACACGCATCAAAAGTGAAGTTGCAGCAAAAGAGAACCACCAAGGGGCAGGACCTCCCCCCAAACTTCGCTGCATATATTTATGCATGTGTATACATATAGGTATCTGGCAAACAAGTTTTCTTTGGAGCAGAGCTGAATAATTTCTTTGGCCGTAAGTGAAACCAGTTTCTCCATATCGATGCTTTGTGGGGACCCGTTCGAAAGAAATTCGATGGCATTTGGTTCGAGTGGATCTCTAACTGATTTGCATAACGATTCCTAGACTCCCGTCGAGGTGCGATTTTTGGGCTGGCCTACTTCCTGGCAGCCCCGTGGGCCATGGCGTTGTGGTCCAATTAAAAATCAGTGTAAGCCGAAGCCTTCATTTGTATATAAGTTAAATAAAAACAATATAATTTTTAATTATTTATAGCTTGTTGACGGGCTCGCTTGCCCGTTACCAGGCAACAACTGGTAAGCCAGGGAACTCCGGGGCTAGTGGGTGCGAATGTAGCACGCGTAGAGCGTAGAGTGTAGAGCGGTAGCAATACGAGCATTTGAGTACTTGCAATCTCATGTGACTGACAGACCGCAAAGAGCTGCCACAGCACCAGCTGTCATTCAGAACAGACAGACACACACAGAGAAAGAGAGCGAGAGAAAGAGAGCGAGCGAGCGAGCGAGCGAGAGAGAGGGAGAGGAGAAAATCACGGCCAAGTTGGGCCCAGAGCCAGACAAGATATTCAAGCAGCGCAGCTCGGTTAGTTAAGCGCGGTTTGGCATTCGGTTGAGACCTCTGCTATTAACGCATCTTCACTTCGGAGTCGCTCGATCGCCATGTCCAAGTACACAAAGCTGGTCCGCGGCATCTGCGATCTACTGCTGTGGGTAGCCCTCATGGGCGGAATTCTGGCGCTGATCAAGCTGGTGAAGCCCTTCAAGCGCGGCTTTTTCTGTGGCGATGAGTCACTGGGCTATCCGCTGAAGGAGAACACGATTGGGGCGGCATTGCTCATAGGCGTGGCAGTGGCTGTGCCCACGTGCGTGATCATCGTAGTGGAGCTATTCAAGCAGCTGCCCAGTCGGGAGGCGGGCGCACGCGAGAGGCGCGATGGCTGTCGGCTGGTGCATCGGATGGCGCAGCTGTACAAGCAGGCTGGATACTATCTGTTTGGCCTGGCCATGCTGACGTTCTCCACGCTACTCACCAAGCTGTGCATTGGACGTCTGCGACCACATTTCTATGCCGTTTGCCAGCCGCTGCTGCCCGACGGCTCCACCTGCCACGATGCACTGAACGAGGGACGCTACATCGATAGCTACACTTGCAGCAACCCCAACATGACAGACTTTCACTTCGATCAGCTGAACCAGTCGTTTCCCAGTGCTCACGCAAGCATCATGATTTACTCAATGCTCTACCTGGCCATCTACCTGCAGGCGGCGCTCAGCACCCGCATCTCCAAGCTGCTGAAGCACCTGCTGCAGTTTCTGTTCGTGATGTTCGGCTGGTATGTGTCGCTGACCAGGATAACCGACTACTGGCATCACTGGTCGGACGTTTTGGCTGGCGCGCTGTTCGGCGTCCTGTTCGCCTGGCTGACCAGCCTGTACGTGGCCGATCTGTTCGCATTCAAGCGCTGGAATCGCACTGGCTACTCGGCCAACACGCTGAAGAAGAGCCAGGTGTCGCCCAAGAGCTCCACCAAGTCGCAGTCCAATGCCGCCGCAGTTGCAGTTGCTGCTAGTGTCGTGCCACCTGCACTGCCTGCCTACACCTTTGGCACCCTGCCCTACCTAGCGGCTCATCCGGCTCAAGCGCAATATGCCCAGACATACCACAACTATGGATACGTGCCCTGATCTGGTGGCAGCAGCAGCTTCGATAGTGAGGCAAGCGCCAGCAGCAGTAGAGCAAATCTCGCACAAATCTTTGTTTTGTTTTTCATATTTTAGCATAATAAACACTCGATATTAATAATATAATGTATAGGAATGTTTCACTTAAAAGAAAGTTGATAAATGACTCAAACGAACTGGGCAATGAGCTGCTGATCGATTGGCGCCCTCGAGTCAATTTAGAAAGCTCTGCCATCGATCGGAGATATCTGCAAAGATCTAGCGAAGCTCTTACTCAGAGTCAGCTAAGTGGAACGCCTCACCGATCGCTGCACGCATAGCTAATCTCCCTGGGCAACTGAAGGATTTCAACCGAAATACGCTTTGCGAATGAGCAGCTGAAACTCCAGACTTTCATGACTATTCGATTTCCATTTAAAGCTCTGAGTCGGTGACTTCCTTCGTTGTGTCTTAGAATGCTCTGTATAGGTTTACAGTTAGTTTAGCTGTTCTTGGGCAGATTGAATTCAACATATGGCTGAATGGCGCGAGTTTCCAGAAGAGCCACAACTTCTCGGGAGTAGCAAAAAGTCAACAAAGCACATTTCAATAGCCCAAATTAGATATTGCCAAGTAGACGCCAGCCAGTTAAGAGACGAGGAATAAATTAATAAAGATTTGCATACTTGAGCAATCGATAAGCAGCATGGGAATGCGACAGCTCGACTCGGACTTTGGCTGTGCATTGTTACCAAGTTTCCGAGCGAACAGCCCAACACAAAGAACGTGGCGAGCTAAGTGGCTGGGGGCTTTGAAACAAGTTTCGCATGGTGGCAGCTAGCGCGGCCCTCGTAACTTCCATAGACATGTAAATTAGCCACGAGCCCAGCTGCAAGACCCACCGGCCTCACCATCCAAGCAGCACCATCCAAGTAGTGTCAAAATGTGCGGCAATCCTAACACGCGACTGCTCTCGCGGCTTATCATCGACTTTCTGCTGCTCCTGGCTGTCTACTGCGTCGCTTTGGTGGTGCTGCCTCAGCAGCTGGCGACAGCTCAACGCGGCTTCCATTGCAGTGATGCCAGCCTGCGCTATCCGTACCATCAGCCTCGGCTGACCAAGGCGCACCTGACCCTGGCAGTGGTGGCGCTGCCAGCGGCGTTCATTTTGGTCGTGGAGATGCTGCGGGCTGCTCTTCTGCCCAGCTCGGCGGAATTGAAGCAGCGTTTCGTGTTCGTCGGTGCTCGCATTCCCAGCTTCATCAGCGAGTGCTACAAAGTCATCGGCGTCTACCTGTTCGGCTTGGGCCTGTCGCTCCTAGTTATAAGAGTGAGCAAGTCTTCCACTGGCCGACTGCGGCCGCACTTCTTCGATGTGTGTCAGCCCAGCTGGGGAGCTGCTGAAGAGGCCATGGAAAGCTGCGCCTCGCAACCCATAAGCAATGCTACTCGCTACATTGAGCACTTCAGCTGCACCGAGTTCGCTGCCTCACTGGAGCTGCTCGCACAGGTGCGTCACTCATTCCCCAGCGGCTTTGTGACCACCACTAGCTACGCCATGGTCTTTCTGATCTACTACATGCAAGCTCGACTCTTTGCGCCCTGGCTGAGAGTGTTGCGTGCTACGCTCCAGTTGGCCTGCGCAACAATGGCTCTGCTGGTGTGTGTGGAGCGCCTCTCCACCTACCAAAATCATCTGTCGGATGTGGCTGCCGGCCTAGCTGTGGGCTTCCTTCTAGCCTCATTCATGGCCATCTTTGTGTCCCACCTGTTCAGACAAGTGAGAGTGAAGCGTCGTCAGTGGCCTCGAAATGAACAGATATACGGCTATGCAGGCTACTATAATCGCGCCACATATGGTTATTGAACGATAAGCAAAAACAATTATTCAATATCTGTAAACAAAAGCAGTCTTTGATGTAGCTCAGCTAAGTAATCAAACCATAGCTAAGTTCTAAACCAATAAAACCTTTCAACGACAAGCTTACGATCCACACAGCAAGTGATCACAATCCACAATAAACTTTACACTCAGCACACCAAAGCCTCGTTCTCTCTCTCTCTCTCTTATTGTTTCTCTCAGCGACGAATAAGTGAAAGAAACAGCAACAAGTGGGCAAAAGCGATTTGTTTACAAAGTGAACAAGAAAGAGCGCTCGCATTTGTTTTCAATCAGTTGCGATCGTAAAGCGACGCTTGGAAGTCTAACTCGGATCAATTCAGTAGCAGCGATCGTAAAGCCAATAAAACGCCGTTAAGTTCAATATCGCGGTTAATGTGCGGTGAGCTACTGTGAGCAATAAATAGAAATGAAAGCTACTAATAGCAGCTATGAAATATGCATTAACAAAGAAATACGAGTGAGTAGAGCTTCTATTAATAAATGGCATGCCTACAAGGCTTAAATTGATTTTAGCTTTAAAGCTTTTACGTCCTTTCGCCATGTTTTGCACTTATTTTGAAGCATGCTGAAAATAAAAAACAAATAATAATAATAATAATGCATTTAACGACGGAGTTCAAAGTGCATTTTAAAATGCCAGCAGTTGACCCGCACAAACAGAGGCAAAATAAGCGCCAGTTGCTGCATTCGAGCTACGCTTACATATGCTAAAAAACAAAATAAAAAAACAAAAAGTGAAGCATACAGAGACGAGAGCCTTAATTCAATCAAATGTCGCTTATTCATTCAATTAAAGGTCGCGCCATTTGACGTCCCACAACGACTACAAATACGAAATACGAATACGAATACGAATACGAATATGAGTGCGAGTAGCCACTTGGCGGGTAGGTGGAGTCGCTGCATATTTCAGAGTATGCTTTTTATGCTAGTAAACGAAGGGAAGTAGGGTATATTGCTGCTCGAGTCTGTTTGACACTGTCTGAAGTAAAATTCTTATCTGGCAAACGATCAAAGCTGCAATTAGTTAAAGTCAAAAACTGAAAATAAATTTGAGTGGTATCCACGCTGAAGTGAACGAGCATGATGTACTCGATTGTAAGAGTAAATCAAATACAGTTAGCTTCTTAGTAAATTTAGCCAAAAGCTGTGTGTGATCGAGTAAGCGACGATCGGCCTGTATTCTAAAAATTATAAGATGACTATGTCTGAACAAATTCAGTTGACAAATTAATTGGAGTGTGAACGAGTATTACGCAGTCTGCTGCATGCGACTATAAAACTCAAATGGTGTTTTTAATACAATTAACTGTTCAACTTTGTGCATGTAAAGTGCATGTCGCATATGCTTTGGGGACAGCACTCAACTCCATTGGCCAGACGGCGTCTACGAGCGCAGGGTTCAGCCAGAGATCAAAGCGCACAATGAGAGCCATTCTTGTTCTTGGAGATGCAGCGGCAACAGATTAGCGTGTTCGCATTGCACTCTTAGCTGCCGCCTTATAGACGATAAAGCGAATCTGCAATCGAGTGCGTGCGACTCGCCCATTTTATGCATCATTTGCCCGGAACAATAGGCGGCCACTTAGCGAGCCATGAGTGAATCACTCTCGAGGCAGCTTTGACCCCGAGATATGCTGCTCATGGCAGGTGAGAGCGATAAACGCAGCAGAGAACCCATTGTTTACCAACCGAATTTATCATTCAAATAAGCTGAGCATCAATGAATTGGCACAAAAACCGCTCCGAGTGACGAATCTGGCGCGGCAGCCTTTAGTGAGCGACTGCGCTATCTGGAACACGCTTTTAGTTATCTTATCAAAATGATCTTGAACGGCTTTTTGCTTGCGCTTATCAAGTGCCACAAAATTGCTACACTGCGCGAAAGGCCGCAACGTTGCGAAATTGGCATTTGCGCTACTCTTGAATAATTCTAGCTTGCTTTATTCCGGCCTAATTTATCGATGCCGTTTTTCCTTACAGTGCACACCCGCCGACTGCGAACACAAGGCGAATTGCTTGTTGTCTAATCTAGAGCTAAGCAAACTACTATAGCTACTCGGGTACATAGCTTTGATCTAACGTAAAATACAACTGTGGCGCAGTGCGAGAGCGAGAGCGGCACAGTGAAGGAGGGGCCTTCCAAAACAATGTGAGAGGAGTTCCGTCGTGCATGAAATGATCGTTAAATTAAAAGAACGTTACCCACTCGAGGCCAGATCAGTCAGCCGCTGACAACGAACCCGCAACGACGCCAACGAATTCGTCGGGTATAAAAAATAAAAACCAACGAACCCAAAGTTAATTAGACAGCATAAAATTTGAAATATTAACTAATTAAAAACGCATTGAGACCGGCGGCGACCCAGTGACTAGCGAGAAGCGGTAAAATGCGGGACGGCGACAACGAAAATAGCACAGCCCCCGTCGGCCGGACGGACAGGGAAGTGCGACGAGCCTCTGCCGCACAGCGCCAAACACTGCGACGCTTCCTCATCGAACTACTCATCATTGTGGTGCTGACGATACCCATCTATATCTGCGAGTTCGCCGTGGAGCCAGTGCGGCGCGGCTTCTTCTGCGACGACGAGAGCATACGATACCCGTTCCAGGACAACACTGTGACGCCCGTGATGCTGGGAGTACTGGCGGGCGGCCTGCCCTTCCTCACCTTTGTTATAGTCGAGTATGTCAGCTCCATGCGTGCCGGCGAGCTCTCATCCACGGTGGAGCTGCTGGGCTGGCACTTGTCGGCCTGGTATGTGGAGCTGGGCCGGCAGCTAACCTATTTTGGGTTCGGCCTGCTACTGACCTTTGACGCCACCGAGGTGGGCAAGTACACGATTGGACGGCTGCGGCCACACTTCATGGCTGTGTGCCAGCCGCAGCTCAACGACGGCAGCCTGTGCAGCGATCTCATCAATCTGCATCGCTATGTAGAGGACTACGAGTGCGCCGGAGAGGGCTTCACCGTTGCGGATATCCGGCAGGCGCGCCTCAGCTTTCCCAGCGGACACTCGAGCATCGGCTTCTACTCGCTGCTTTACACGGCCCTCTATCTGCAGCGCAAGTTGACCTGGCGCAGCTCCAAGTTGATGCGCTACTTTCTGCAATTCGTCCTCATAATGCTGGCGTGGTACACCGCGCTGAGCCGCGTCATGGACAGCTGGCATCATTGGTCCGATGTGCTGACCGGCTCGCTGCTGGGCATCGTGGGAGCCCTGCTAACTGCCCACTACATTGCCAAGCTGTTCAGGTCCCCCTCCTTCCAAGATGTCAGCCTAGGCGGCACACTGCGCCGCGAGGACACCTCGGCCACGCTACAGGAGGTCTGCCCCAGCACTCCTCCTCCATACTGTGTGAATAACAGCTACAACGACGATCAGTATTGCACCAAAGTATAGGCGGATCGCCGATCGCCGATCGCCGATCGCAAAGCGGAAACTTGTAATTAAACATTCCAAATCAAATAAAGTACGGCGTAACTGAAAATATTTGAGAAACAGAGTTGAAACTTACATGCTAGAGCACCCAAGTAGCTTATAACCCTTACGTATTTTGTAGTATTATACATAACCCATAAGTCTTTCGTAGTCCATTACCAAATCGTTCCAATGCATTTGTAAAGATTTCACTCATTCCATGTACTTCTAGAACTAAGCCTCATGCAATTGTCTACATGTTGTTCATGTTATTTTTGTAATAAACCACATAAATATGATAAATACATTATATAAATATACGAGTTGTGGGGAGCAGCCTACCCAACATATATTTTGCAGTCAGCTGCAGAGTTTACAGTTTCCTGAACAATTGTTTAACTAATATTATCGTATACTTATGTGTTTATTATGCTTATAGATATGTGTAATAAAGTGTACCTCTTAAAAATAAATATGAAGTTAATAAGTTGAGTAATTCCTTATGTCGACTTTCATCGTTAATAATCATATACTGACGTGTATATATAATGATATACTTATATAAAATATATAATAAATTATAATATAAAATATATATAAAATATATAATAAATATATATATATAATAATAATAAATATATATATATATATATATATATATATATATATATATATATACATATATATATTTATGTATATATGACAGCATCTCTCTTAAATATTAAGGCTTAAAGTTTTTATGGTGGCATAAATACAAAAGGTACCAATGATGATGATGAGTAACATTCAAAGCTCACGCTTCGTTGAACTGAGTCAAATTTCAATTTGAATTCCTGCATGTTCTGCGTATTCATAAACTCCAAAATTCCCTTTGTTCCACGCTTACCCATATTTTTAATCAATTTATCTACAAATTGCACCAAAATAGCATAATTGTTTTATTGTTGTTTTTAAAAAGAACTTGTTATCTGTGTGATTCACAAGATAAACATAGAAATTTGTATTCACTCTAGCTGTATCAAGGGCTAGCGTACTAAGCAACTTCTTTGCGGCTGTTTAATGTGCAGAGTGATCTTTCTGAATCCGGGGGTAAATTTATTACAGGGTATTACATGCGCGCCTTCTTTCTGTGGCAAATGTTTTAGCTGCGTCATCCGCACGGCACACGAATGAAGAGAATGGCATAGATAGTAAACTTTATTTTGGTTCGGTCTTTCTTTGAATGATCGTGGGAATTCGTGTGGCTCAAGTTGAGCGCAAGCTTTGTTCATCTCAAATTTCGGCATTGTGACTCAAGTGGTTCTGATAATTCCAATTGGACTCTAATAAAATTGTATATGGAGCTTTCGAACTGCAGTATTAGAGCAACGATCAGACTGAAAGCTTTGCCCGAAAGCTCATTTGTGTTGCCAATCGCTTGTTGGGAATAATATTTTGATTATAGCATTAAAAAATTCCGAGCTAAAAAAATAAGTTCGTGCGACATATTTGAACTTTGAAGGCCAGACAAATGGCAGTATTGAAAACATTGCAAAGTAAGTAGAAGAATCCCCAACACGTGCACGAGTGTAAGGGATGCTTATCTGTCAAGGCCAATAAACTTGTAGAATCTGACGCGAGCATAGAGGCACTGATTACCCGAAAACCATATTTGTAGTTATAGTAATCAGATCATATTGAAGACTAAATACTCTGAATGTCTCAATTGCGCTACTGGAACCAAGCCAAGAATATTTCCAATTTATTTGGTCAGAGATAAATCTAAAATTATAATTAAATAATTTATCTGAAAGGTGCAAGTGCAAGCAGTTACTTTTTAACTGAGCTAAATGGATTTACCTATCATTTAGTAAGACTTTTTATCCATCGATTGGCTAAAACACAGATCACAAGACTTCATTCTATGCGGTTTATTCCACTTGAAGTTCTTGTTTAAACTAAAATCCCAAACCATGTTAATGTTTGTAGGGCAAAGCTCTCAGGTGATGTGTTGCAATCAGTAAAGGTTCACGTCTAAAATCTACATGAAATTATTCATACATGGCCGATTCACTGCCAAATGTCAATTGGTTTATATATGTATGTTCACTTGACAATAGCTGAATCATAGCTTATATTGCTTGCTATTCTTGAATGGCAATCTTAAAGGTCATAAAAACAGGCCGATTCTTTTAAATAGAATAAATTCTAGGGTGTCTGACAGGTTTTTCACTGTGAATACAAAGGAGATAATAAAAGCGTAACGGTGATATACCATCAGAGGTGCAATATAAATATTGAATCTTGTACAGTAGGGACTAGAACATACATTTTAGGAGCTACTGTCTAAAAGGCTATACTAGAAGAATAGAATTTCGGAGCTTTCCTCTGAGCTGACTACGTCGGAGATGCAGCTGACTTGGGAACAGAAACAAAGCTGACATTTCAATGAGATGCGCTCACATTCACAGGATGAGGCTACGTCCATAGTACTAATAGTAGGTAAGAGTATTCATAATTTGCTAACTTTGAGCAATCAAGTTTCTGTTGGTTTATTTATATAAATTGAATTCAGAGATTGAGTCGACAAAGAGGCTCGACTTTATTATATTGAAATCTTAGTCTGTGCTTCAACGCCGCGGCTGAGTGCTCGATGCGATCAGTGACGCGCGAGACATCTAACCGAGCGAATCATGAGTTTCGACCTACAGATCAATGGGCTATTCCCCAATCGAGGACAGTTTCGCCTCCTGCTGGACGTGGCGCTGCTGTCTTTGATGATCTTGCTGAGCACATATTTCAAAGAGCTCTGGCTGCCAACAACACAGCGTGGATTCTTCTGCGACGATGAGTCACTTATGTATCCCTACCGAGAGAACACTGTGTCGTCCTCCATGCTCCATTGGATCAGTATCTATTTGCCTATGATGGCTCTGCTGGCCCTAGAGACTAGTCGAAGCTGGCTGGGCTGCCGGCAGTATTGGCGTGTGTACAACACCCTGCGCTGGTTCATAATGGGCTGCGCTGCGGAATCTCTGCTCAAGGATATGGGCAAGAATGTTATTGGAAGATTGCGGCCCCATTTCTTTGAGGTCTGTCGGCCGCAGCTGCCCGATGGCGGCTACTGCTCGGATGCAGCTCATCGGCAAGGTGGCGTCTACCATACAGTTTACGGCTGCAACGCGGATCTCTCGGGTGCCACTGAAGAGATGCTGCTGGACATACACGTGTCCTTTCCCAGTGGCCACTCCAGCAAGGCCTTCTATGGGCTGGTCTTCATGGCACTCCACTTACAGCGCATCCGCTGGCCACTGCCTGGCAGCTTACTGCGCCCCGTCTGCCAACTGTTCTGCATCTGCCTTGCCTCATTTGTCGGCCTGAGCCGTGTCATGGATTACAAACACCACTGGTCGGATGTTGCGGCTGGATCGCTGTTGGGCGCCGCCATTGCCTTTGCGGCTGTCCGTGCGGCAGGGCTGGACGAAAAACTGCATCTAGAAAGCAGCAAAGGGCAACATGCAAATTCATTGCCCAGCAAAACAGCTGCTGCCACTACTTCCACTGCTGATGGAGCGTCTGATGAAGTGGACCCCGGAGCGAAACAGCTGCCGCATGATTTGTGTCAAGTTACGTGCCATAGCTCTAATTAGTTTTAGTTGCGTTCTAACCCTAGCTTGTTAAGATAACTGACAGTAAAGATGGACAATTAAAAGTGTAATTTGTTGTTTTCTTTTTATAAGATGCAATTCGAGGCATCTCCCTAATCCAGCGCACACAACGGGGTTAGTTGATAAGACGCAACGCCAGTCGCCTGTAGCTTTAATAATAGACGGCGCAGATTAAGTCGACTGTCGCATTTCTGTTTCGCTTTCAGTATTTACTTTAACATCCACATACGACTTTGCCTGCATGATTCGCATATTTTAGCATAACAACACTAGAGGACTGTGTAAATATTTTGCGATGTGACGTCAGTGAGCAGTAGCTGGAAGTCGCTGAGACTTCTAACTAATAATATAATGTTCTGGGGACTTTTTTGAAGGTGAGCTTACCAAGCGCAAATCCGAAAATTGTTTACATACCTGAAAAGATTAAAAACAAAAACAATTAATAAATAGCTTCTATCTAAAGACTCTCTGACTGTAAAAGTGGCATAGGTAGAAGTATTGAGATGGGCAGACGAAGAACATAGAAATGCTTGTTTTTGGGTAAAGCTAATATGTTTTCAAATCAGCATCTCAGTATTCTAAGAAGTTAAGTTGAATAATTAAACATTTAATGTTCGAGTTATGGGTAAGTAGAAATGGCGAGTGCGATGCCAATAGTCTTAAGCCACAGATAATTCAGTGGGAGGCACTTGTCGCCCCAAGCAAATTGATTGCAATTAGTGTTGGTTGGCAAATTCCAGAAGCCAGGACCCATTGAAAGCCGCAGACGCAGACGAGTCGCGACGTTGACAACGGTGCAACAATTAGCGACTCTTTTAGTTTCATTAGAAACAAATTTTCAAATGACTTAATCCCAGTCAACGCCATTAGCCCGCCCTTTGTAGCCGGTCCACTCCAGCAGGCAAGGTGGAGAAGCAAAATCGCAAAGAGAAATAAATAAATTTCAGCAGCAGGCGCATAAATTGGCATAACCGAGGGATTCAGCAGCCCAATCCGAGAAGCTGATGATGATGCGCAACACCTGAGCCTCGGATTCAGCATGGGCGTTCGAGTCTCGGACGATTAAGGACTACCCTCATCAGGAGACGGAAGTTCTTGCCAGCCATTTTCACTTGTGGCCCGCTTAATTGGCTCATTTATTTTGATGGCAAAGAATATGTTGGCAAAGTGTGGTTTTTTTATTCGCCTGGGCCGGGCTCGCATTTACCTGGCTTGCTGCTGCCTCTGGTTTTATTATGATTAATTATGGCACAAGCGCACAATTACAGACACATATACACCAGCACGGAGATACACAAACTGACCCTGCGCTCCGGTTTCTTGCCAAGTTTCGTAACTGTGTCAAGTTGTTGTTGTTGTTGTTGTTGTTGTTGTCTGGCTCCAGATTCGAATGATAAATTTCTATGCAATTTATTTTAATCTGCTGCGACAGAGGCTCCCCTCTAGCGTCGAAACTATCTTTGCAGCTAGTTTCCATGCGTTAATTAAATGGAAAATATTTGCACATAACAGCAAACTGAGGCGGAAGCCAGAAGGCGGAAAGCGGCTCCCTCTAAAGTTCTTCTGCCATCCAATAAAGTGACCTATATTTTGCATTAGCGAAACTTTTGTTTTCCTCACCGCAAAAACAACAAACAGAAACAGAGAAGAGCTGGGCTATGATGAAGCCTCTGAATAAAGAAGCAGCAGCCATAAAGAATGGTGCTGAATTAGTTTTTAAAGACGGGTTTCATTACAGCTGGCAAAGCTCTTCGTTCTGCGTGTTCCAACTTTTAAGCTATCCTTCGTTTTTAAGAGGTATTTCTTGCTTTCTACAAAATATTGCAACTAAAGATGATCTTTGGAAATGTTTATTCTACGGCTCAACTGCTATGCTTTGCTGCATCTGATAGACTCTGAAACATTCTCTTAAGACTTCCAGTTTTATATACAAACTAGTTTCAAGGCCTGCCAGCGCTACAGACATTTGTTCGATATCATTGCATATTTCAACCTCACAACCCGTTTGTCTGCCCATTCATTTACTCATCTCCTTCGCTCCATTACTTGCTTTAAGCTCTTGCAGGAGTGTCAGTAGCATCGGGACCACCAATCTGTAGCTCGCTTAACTCATGCTAGAGATTCTTGAACCCACCTGCCACAAACGCTACAAAGCGGCGACTCTGTAATCACAGTCAGGTGTGATAATGCGGTATGCGGACAGCAGCCTGTGTCCAGTTGAGCCAGTTTGCCAGTCTGTCATTTCGAGCATCGCCATCACAGACTGCCGCATATATGCTCCTCTTTGCTATTTAAGGGCATTTCTACCACGCTGGAGCTTTAAACTCAAAACTTGTTTTGTGCCATTTTCAGAGGCGACTCTAGCACTTTTGTCACGCATTCTGTATTGGCGTAACACAAATGCTGTCAACTATATGACTTTTTCCATCTGATATTTCATAAATATAAAATGCTTACTTATAATATCAACAAAGGTGCATTAAGACTATCGCATAAGTCCGTGAAACATCCTTCGCTTAAAGGCTTTTGGAAAGGGTATCTTAGCGGTGCCATTGCTTTCTGTTCTCATTGTTGTTAATGCTGTCTTCGTCATCGTCGCACCGAGCGCTTCATATTTCTGCGGCTGCCAGTTTGTCCATTGAATTTCGATGTCCCTAGCAACTTTTGCACTTGGTATTTGCCATCAGCAGTCGGCAGTCGGCAGTCGGCAGTCGGTAGTCGACAGCCGGCAGTCCGCAGTTGTTAGTTCTCTCTCTCGTTCTCAGTAATCTGCGCCCTCATTGGCTTCATGTGTGTAAAGACAATTTGATAATCGCAGTATGCAGCATAGCTGCATAGTTTGAGTTAATGAAGCTTGTGTGCTATGTATGCATCCTTGCGTGCCACCTCCGTGTCCTTGCGAAATGTGCTCTGGCAGACCAGACACGACTAGACCACACACACTCCTCGCCACACCTAGAGAGCTCCCTCCTGGTCGTTGTGTTGTTTGTTAGAAAACAAGCAGAGCGTTTTGCTTGCCAATTAATAATTTGTTTGCCGCCTGGTTGACTTAAGGAGAGGCGAGAGACTGAGAGAGGGACAGAGATAAAGAGAGAAAGAAGGAGAACATCAAAGGGAGAGAGAGGAAACTACCTCGACTGCGCCTGACAGCCTGAGGAGGTGCTTTTAGAGCAGCATCGACTGTGGGCACAGGTGTTGGTTCAAATCGGTTTAATTTCATGACAATTTCCGTGGCGTTAGTTTAATTTGTAAAGTTTCGTCAATTGAAAGTTCGGATTGTATTAGCAACATTATGTTGTTCAGATTGTATTGTATAAGATGCGTTCCATAGCAAGATTGACTCAATAACAACTTAAGCGACGCACACACCGCTTGGCTTATCCTCCATTCATTTTCAATTTGTTTAAATTAATTTTAAAGCAAGCTCTACTTGACAGATTACAGTGCATTTATCAGTTGCTGTCTGGTCTGCCGCTGCAACGCGAGACTCTGCGCTCATGCTGTTAACTAATTTAATTTTTATCGACTGACAAGACGAGCGAGTTCAATGTGACAATACGGTAGCTCAACGGCAACGACAACAATGACACCGACTATAATAATGGACGACGGCGCTGACCCCCCCGTAGACATCGGCATGGCCGATGCAATCAGAAGGCGACAGCGGGATGTCGGCGATCTTACAGTTGGAGCAGCCAAGAGGAAAACAAAGTCGGATTGCAATTTCTGCTGTCCAACGGACCTTTGTAGTGTGGCCGCACGATATTCGAAGTCGCTTTGCGCCCTGCTGTCCAGAAATCACACGCAGCCTCGACACGTGACGTCGACAGCAAAAGCGTCAGCCATTTTGCGTTTTGTGTCGCTGCCACCATCATTATTAATACGGCCGGAATGGCACGGGACGCGCTGGACCGACCCGGACAGCAGATCCGGGTGTGCCATAACGATGTGAGCGACATTTGCTTCTGCACTAACTTCCGCTGCGTGGCGTTCGTGCTGTGATTTTTTGCGCTGCCTCCTGCCTTGCAGCCATTCGCTTTGGCTTGGCTCTCGGACAATTTTGATTGCTCTCCAGCGCACCAACTCACCAGCTCGCCAGTCGGAGCAGCTCCTGTCCGGGCAGTCAAAACAGGTGTGGCCGTCAACTGGCAATCAACTTTCATTTAGCAGCATCATTTGTCACGCTTGTTTATTGCCCGGTTACGTGTTGATCAGACTTAATGGCTGTTATTGTCGCCTGCTCCTCCCAATATAGCAGACAGATAGACAGCAGACTCAAAGGCACTGCAGTATGCACAGAATGGATCGTTGCATTTATTGGAATCCAAGAAAATCAATGGAAACTTTTTCTCAGCTCTGGCAGACGGCTCTGCCGAAGAGTAAAAAATCAATCGTGGACCTTTCAGAGACACAAATCGTGTTGCGCTTCTAGCACATAATCAGACCCAATTACGGTGTAGTAGTCGCTGAATTATTTTGGACTCAGGGGCAGTGGCAACGGCGAAAGATCTGCGACAGAATGAAGCGAAATTCAAACGCTGCTGCCGTGTTGATTATGAATATTTCAACGCAGTCTGCCGAAAGCCAAGCCTGATGATAACCCACGTCATGATGATGATGATTATGTTGATGACGTTGACCGCATACGCCGCGAATGTGCAATAAATTTGTATGACCGGCCCTGAATTCGGGAGGGCAGCGCCATGAGCAGCATATGAATTTACATTTTGGCAATTTCCAGTTTTCGCAGTCTCTTCCGTGCCTCGCACTCACCTCACGCCTCAGTTCAATTGGTCGGCTACATTTGCCTATCGTCGATTGCAAATCTTCATTGGAGTGCAGCGCGTAAATTCCGTTACCACGTCGCTTTATTCGGA